CAATTCCCCAACCCAGACCCCAATTCCCCAACCCAGCCAGCCACAACACCGTGAATTCCTTAGGGAGGTGCCAGCCTCATCTTCTTGAACTTCCCACGCTCCTGTTGGGGGGTAAGAACACACTTATTATTATGGCCTTCATAAGTCCATCCCATCACAGTTATCTTTTAATGCTTCCTATCAAAATACATTGTGCAGTTGTTCCATCTTTTCATCCCTGACAGATTTTCTTTGGTAAGAAAAATGATAGTAGAAGCAATGGGAGATACCATAGAAGTTTTACAACTGGAAAATGGTTTCCACACAAAGTACATGAATACAGAAAGGAAATTGCTTGGAACAATTTATTTCTACAGTTAGCTTTCTTCATGTTCACTCTATATAATAAAAAATGCTGTCATTTAAATCTGTATAGGTTTGCAGCCTGAATATATTTATTGCAATATTTTAATTGGAGATGTTTTTCTGAGATTTCTGAAAAAAGGAGTAAGTTTTCTTGAAATTATACACAAATTTCAAGTATAACTTCTTAACATCTCTTTTTCATTAACTTTGGCTCAGTGAGGTTAGGCTGGCATGTCTGTGCGCCTGGCGTAGTTGCAAACCTTTCTGGTTTATACATACATCTACCCACACCTACCCACAGGCACAGTTGTGAAATTGCCCAAATAATGGAATAATGTAATGGAAGTGACTTTAACTGTGCAATCTTTTGTCTTAATGTTGCAGATGAACTATTGGGTTCTCAGTCTCTTGACCCTTCATTGAAACAGTCTCAAGGTATCATGCCAGGAGGAGTCTTTACACATTTATTTAGCAATTTAGTTAAATCACGTATCACCACAGGGGAAAATTTTAACTTCCTTCATGGACTGCATCTTCATAGAAACTACGTGAATGATCAAGAATTTGTAGCATGGAAAGGTAATGCTCTGCATATGTATTTTTGCTGTAAACTAACTGAATTTTGGGCCACTGAATTTCAAATATGTAATGGATGCTACCCAAGTTTATGTTGCTATTTAAGAGCTAGTAAGATAGTGTGTATTCTGCAACCATTTTAGTAAAAATTCCAAGACAGCATCTAAAGAGACTTTAGATTTATTCTACTCTGTGTAGATTGAGCTGTAGGATTGGCAGTATAATGGAAGGCATGTGCGAGGAGGATACTGGAATGGAGGATCAAGGTTATCAGGAGGGAGGGGGACCATTCCAGGGGAGGTCGTAAAGAAAGCACTTCCTCAGCCCACAGCAGGACCATGAGAAGATGAAGAAGCTGAGGTTAGCCCCTCCGTAGTGTCTCACGGGGTATATCCACTAGTTGCTTTAGCATAGGTTTAGTCTATTAGGTGCAAGCTAATAAAGGAACTATACTGGACTGAACTGCCTCATTGTCGTTCTTGGGCTGGGCCTGATATCAATCTTGCCAGACTCCTACTCCCATCAAGAGGGAGGAAACTTTGAGCATGGCTACAGATCTTCAAGGAGTATGTTAACTCTGCAGCATCTGGCAGCAGCATTGCTACAGCATCAACAGGAAGTGGACGCATAGATCAATAATTTACAGACCACGATGATGCAGCTGGCACAGCAGCTCGTGCAGACCACCCAGCAAGCCACAGCCAGGTCACTGGTCCTCTTGCATTCTCATGGAAGCATGCCAGAGAAATATGGAGGGGCTAGCCTCAGCTTCTTCATCTTCTCATGGTCCTGCTGCAGGCTGAGGAAGCGCTTTCCTTGTAACCTCCCCTGGCATGCTCCCCCTCCCTCCTGATAACCTTGATCCTCCATTCCAGTATCCTCCTCGCACATGCCTTCCATTACAGGCAGTCCTTAACCAATATACAAGAATTCTGGTGAATACTTTATTTTCCAACTGAGAAACCCATATATATGGGCAAATCAAGGCAATTAGATTCTTCTACTCCTGCTCAGGCTCTTTTGACATAAGGGGGAGGATACCTGCCTCTTTAGAGAAAGCAAGCCAACCAGCACAATCTATATTTGGTGGGTTCCTGATGAAGTACTAGAAAGGGAAATGCTTCTTCCGCTTTCAGTTGACTCTAATCAAGAAGGAAAAGGAGTGGAGAGTTATGAAGCAGGTGGAATTCTAGACAAGGAAGAAAAGCAGATGGAAGCTGTGAGTGGGAAAAGTGGTGAGTTCAGAAATGGAGGAAGTTCCTGACAAAGAATGGAAATGGAAAGAGGGGGACAATTGTTCCAGCTGCCCCAAGCCAGAAGGAGGGAATGGGAGAAGTATCTGAGTGTTCCAGACTCATAGGAGGAAGGAAGATATGAAATGGACAAGGGGGTGGTAAGAAGCTTGACATGGGAATTGGTGGTTCCCAGGCCAGAGATGCCCGTTATGTAAACATACAACAACTGTTCAGCCTCAGAGCCACCAAACACTGCACTAAGGAGCAGTTAAATCAGAAGGGTGGGAGGAAGAAGTAAGTTTAAATCCTTACAATATAAAATCCATTTATAACTTCTCACTGGCTATGGAAAATCAACAGTTAATATGGCTTCATTCTAGACTAAAGATTCTAATTTAGCTGAGCCATGCCTGGGAGTCTTCTGTCAAGCCTAGCTGAGGGTTGAGCTAAACTGTGCAATTCAGGAGAGCTGTGATTTACATCTGAGTCCTAGTTGAGAATCCTGATCACCCCAATCTAAAAAGGAGCAATATGGCTTAATATGATCAGGGCAATACAATTCTTACTGTTTCAAATCAAACTTTTTTTTTCATATGAGCACACAGCATATTTATTTTCTTTTTTTAGTTACCTTTTGGCGAATCACTCTCTTTCAATTACTATGATTTTGGGATATTTCAGGGACACATCTGGATGCTGTACCCAATCAACTGACACCTGAAGAAAGCAGTCTGCACCTGGTGGATGGGGGGTTTGCTATCAATTCCCCCTTTCCATTGGTACTTCAGCCAGAGAGAGATGTGGATGTGATCTTCTCATTCAATTATTCTTGGCAAGCTCCCTTTGAGGTGAGCATGACAAAGCAACTTTAATGGCTTAGAATCCTCTGAATCTGCTATACCACATGCAAATAGTGCTACCTAGTCCTAGCTTATGACAAGGCTTTATTACTGGGCCAATAGTAATTTCTGGGTCAATGCTTGAGTAAACCAAATGCAATGAACAATGCAGTAATTATTTATTAATCTATTTGTGATGCCAAGGATTGCATCTGAGGCCTTATATATGCAAAGTATATATCCACTGAGCTATGGCCCTCTTCTTTTAAAGTTCAGTTGCTGTTTTATTGAAGTTGCTCTAGCCTGGCTAGTTAAATCTTACAATTGCTCCAGCTAGGGTATCTTTCATAGAATAATAGAGTTGGGAAGGGCTAATTAACCTTCAAGTCTAATACTCTGTTCATTGCAGGAATAGGTAAGGGAGAACCCATACTCTTAATGGTAATTGATTCCACTGTCAAATTTGCAGTTACTGTTATGGTTTTATATTTTTTAAAAAATTCAGTCAGAATCTGCTGTCTTATATGTTAATTCCATTATTTTTGGTAATCTACTGTGGAACAAGAGAAAACATTCTATGCAACATCCTTTCAGATATTTTTGCTATTCCAACAGAAGAGATATTATATATATAACTTATATATATAGCTCAGGGTTGAATTGTGGAGTCTTTGGTGCTCTCTGAGCTTGGTTGTTTGCTTGCAGACATTTCATTACCTGACTGGATAAGATCATCAGTGTTATGAGTGTGGGATTTGCTCCCTGTTTATATACAGTAGCTTGCCCTGCCAATGTTGGTAGAGATATGGTTTTTTTCTTGGTAGATCCTTGACTAGGATATTGTTCTCTGCTTGATTGTTTGTCTGGTGTTAATCCCTGTTTATTTGCATATTGGTTGCTGGAGAGGATTTGTTCTAGTCCTTTTGTTTCCTTCTTGGCTTTCTTATTGTCTCTTTTGAGTGATGTGTAAATGTGGTTTGTCTCTATATGTCTATTGATGGCTGATGTGTCTTAATGCCAAGCTCCCAGGAATTCCCTAGTGTTTTTGGATTTAGCTTGGTCTAGGATGCTCAGTTTCCCA